TATATATATTTAATATATATGTATTAATGTTTGCTTCACTCAATTCTCTAAAGAAATTAAAAAAGATCTAGTATTCACACTGCACTCTGCTTTGACTGATGTAGTAAATAATGGGATGTAAACACGACAGCAGCCAACAGCATATTATTAAAGAGCTCATCTTAATCATCACAAATCAGCCATGTCCTAAAATGGCCCTGCCTTCAGCTGTAAGACAACACTGCGACTACAGATTCCAGGTTTCTAGGGCAATAGGACACAGCAGTGCTGACACTGTGAATTGTGAAGGGCTGTGTGGTGCTGAGATGGTCAGACATTCGACACAGGTGACCTTAAAGATATTATTGAACTATATCAAAACAAAAGGAGTATATACTGTTTACCATATACTGAATAAATACAATAGTAGTTCTAGGACACGGACATCTGTGTAGGTCGATGCAGTGTTGTGCAACATTTGGCCTTATCTAAGCAAAACCAACAGGATGTAACTGTCTAAAAAAAATGTAGATCAATAGCATCATTTCCTTTTAATCTGATCATATTATTCCTATTACTCTCTCTCTCTCTCTCTTCCATACCCAAACAAATACACTCAAATCACGATGACTCAGTGAAATAAGTTTCGAAGCAAACGTCATCTAACAAATGCATTCGGAGTCAAACACTCAATTTGGAAATGGAGTAAAGAGTTACAAGACAACCTTGACAGAAATGTCCCAACATCTGTATACAGCTATGAATGAAAACATATAATCTGCTCACAACATCTTATTCCAGAATGATTTAATCTGCTGACGTTGTGAGGGTTAAGAGGATATAAATAAACGTCCAATACAACAACTTCAGCACCCACTCTGCTTCTCTCTCCTTGTCTCTCCTAAACATTTACATCCCAATAGGCCTTAATATCCTTTATATCCTATCCTCAGCATCTCAGCCACTCCCTCATTGTCATAGCAACATCCTAAGAGTAACAGCATTCCTTTCAATGAGACTACAGCAAACACACTGGGATTATGCACGACACTGCTGATTGATCATATTGATTGATTTCTGACATACATTCAGTGCTGAAACAAAGACTGCATATACATATAAATAATTTGCATAGCTAAAATGGTTAGTCATGCAGAGCATTTAGGCCTACATTCATTACAGTCATGATTCCTAGATGCAACACATAGACTTACAGTATATATAAACCCTTTTACTAACTAAAATGCATAACTGTCATATTCAAATACATGTTGAGTCTTGTGGGAACAGATCATTATACTATAGCACAAAAGCAGCCTGTATTAATTGAGGAAAACAGGTTAAAAGGACTAACCTTCTCCCCCTCCATCGTGCCAGAGTGGAAACGTCCAAGATTGATGGATTCCGAGTGAACGTGATACCGGGCACACAATCTCCTTATGCCCGCGATGCGATGCTATTCGTGACTATTTTGCCTTTTAAAACAGCAAAATTGTAAAACATTTGTAAATTAGCGTAAGTAGTGTGATAATCATACAATTGTTTTATTTTTCTAAACAATCTGTTGCGTATGCGTATCATCTCGCGCAACATCTCATACAAGTTAAACCACAAGTGACATATTTAGTGACGTATAAGCCTATATGATATTAAAATGTATAATTTAAGTAATACATAAATACAGTAGTATTTTTGATTCGCTAAAATGCTTCATCCTGAAATGAATATCAAAGCTCGAGTAACATTAACGTTACTGTTGCCATAGTTACATCTTCAGGGCGAACTTGTAAACTTTAATGGTAAAAATGAATTTTTGAAAACCGTTTTGGAAAGAATTATGTACAAATACGTACTTGTACTGTAAAAATAAGAGATACTGTTTTTTGACCCTCCCCCCAAATTTGTGATGCCGCCCAGCCCCCACCCAGAACCTTCCTTCTACCGTGCAAAAAAACCCCGCAAAAACAAAAGAAAACAACTCTTAAATGAATAAATACATATATAAACTATACACTGTCGTACAACAGGTGTTTCTGCACATTGCTGACTCCACTTTTTTGACAAGTGGATTTGGTAGCATCTTCTTCACCTCAGACCCGTTTTTGACCATTAAACATTTTACACGTGTAAAAATAAATATTTTCGTAATTTTTAAGCGCCAAAGCAATACTATACTATCACAGGTCTCATTACCAACAAAATATAGATCACACTGCGCATGTAACGTTACTATTTTAACATTCACCACAATGTTCATTAGCCTACTCTTTTCCGCTTATTAAAGACGCTGTTAAATTAATTTAACGTAACACTAAACAGCCAAATAAGGTCATAGAAGATGTGGCTACTACAATTATCAGCATCAGGCTATTTTAGTAAATCATCTTACGCTATTTAAATATCTGGCAATTCATCCGTTGAGGCTGCAGTTACCTTCTCTCTCGTGCGTCGTGAGCACGTTTCCCGTTGACCCACTGGCACTGAAGTCCAGAGAAATTCGCTCTGCCGGTTATGTATTATTTTCATTCGTCACACGCCGCAAATACACGACCAACCGCACGTTCCCCTTTTGACGGAATACCGCCGGTCGCGCACGTAAAACCTCACCCCCGCCCCTTTATTTATCCACTAGTATTTCGCATCACGCCTTGTAACAGCTGTTCCGTCATAGCGCCTCGCGGTGTGGGAATACCTTATTCGACGAGGTTTAGGTTAGGATGCGGTGTAGGGTGGGACCATGATGCTCTGCGCGGGTGACCTTGATAGAGCATCAGCTGATGGCTGCTACCAAATAGATTCAGCGCCGGGTACCACAAACCCAAAGGATTCAGCCATGCGGCTTTTACTTCCTGAAATTTGTAGAGCGAAAAAGGTAGTAATAAAAATACTATTAGTATTTATAATATTTATCTTTTTTGTTTTTTTGTTTATCTATGAATATCCGTTGAAAAGCGCAGTAGGCACATCCCACTTGCGTTTATTCAGGCCTCAAAGAGGCACGTGAGTCATGGCAGTATCAAATTCTGCAGTATAGCAGCCCAAATTCTACTGCAGGAGGAGTCACAAGACTTCTCCAGATGATTTTATAACATAACAGGGTTGCATCATTATATCCCATTTTATATATATATCATTTTTTGTGCACTGTAAAAAGATTCTGTTGGTTTTTATAGATCTAAATCCACATGGAGCTGTTCACTTAAGATATATTTGGGCTAGTTGTCACACTTTTTGTCAGGATATTATGGTTTCTCTGTATTTGTTGTAGGCTATTTGTATTTCATGTTACAAATGTAACTAAGCAGAAGTAGAAAATGTAGAAAATGTAAAAAAATCAACATTGTCCTAAGAACTAGTTGTCCTAGTTCAAATTTCTGATTAATCTATCTTCATAATATATTTGATGCTTGCTTTAATGTATCCTATTGTGGGATTTATCGTGTTCACTTATTTATCCATGAGCTATTACAGATAGCCTATTTGGCGATGCATGTTTTTTTCTGTTCATTAAGTTTGTTGGGTAAGAGTTATCATCACATTTTTTTTATTTCCATGCAATAAAAAATACGGAAAAACATCTTATCAAATTAAATATCATACCAAATTTCTTAAATACATAATAGCATAATAGGCATACGAATCTAAAAAACACAAACAAACTTCAGTATATGGTTTTGTGTTCAGTGGTCTGTAGCACGAAAGAGAGATGAACAAACTCAGAGCTGCAGACTAAGTTTTGAGTTGTGCTTCCCTGTCAGATTTTGCTACCTCCCATTGAAACAGTCGGTAGAACAATGCGACAACAAAAAAAATGCTACCATCAGATTATGCTTTATTAACGCCTACACCTACCCCAACCCTAAACCTACCTACCTTTACATTAATGAAAATACAGTTATGTGTTGTTCAGCGTGAGAAAATTTACGCAATATTGATCTGCACATGCGCAGTAAGCCCTGGTAGGCAGGGGCGGACTGGGACAAAAATTCAGCCCTGGCACTGTAGCCACACCGGCCCACATTACCACACCGACACAGCCCCACCCACAGACACACACATTCACTACTTACATTTGTGTACAGATGGTGAAATAATATAAGCAGTACCATATATGTAACAGATATTTAAACATTTAATGTATGTGTCTGGCAAACAATGCTTACTACTTTTTAAAGAGCACACGTTTATAAAAAATGTACACATACAGTAAAAACAAAAGAAAAAGAATCTGAGGATGTTGTAGAGTCTGTGTGCTGTCTGTTTATGCCATTTGTCTGCTGTTACTGTCATTCTCTACAGTATGTTGTTCTTTGTTGTCACTGTCTGTCTGTTGGGTTTTTCCTACCTCTACCATACTCCTCCCCGTCTCTGCTAGGCCTACTGTAGCATCCTTCCTCACAGCACTGGTATTGAAAGACCAGGGGTCTCTGGCTGTACTGATTCCAGCAACATTCTAGTTAATGAACACAGTATAGGACTTAAACATTACAGCAAAATATTTTCTCACTGACTGCTCTCAACATTGGAATACACATGAATACAAACAAGTAATAATAGCAAAAAAGGGCCTGTTCTATGCGCTGTTGGCCCGTAAAAACAATTTTATTTATATATATTTAGAAAAAATCTGACCGGCCCACAATAAACAAAATGGTCCGGCCCCTCTGGCATTTGCCAGAATTGCCAGATGGCCAATCCGCCCCTGCTGGTAGGACAATCTGACAGGTAGGATGAAATGTCAGGACACCTGGGGCAAGTTCAAGCTCAAACCGGTGTGCACCGTTTTGCTACGGTTTCCGGTTTGTGCAACGGGGTTTGAGATGCTTTTTCTCTTGTTTGGTGGGTGTGTCAAACATGTCAGCCCAATCAGCAGCAACATGTCTGTTAGATCGGGATCAACTGTTGCACAACGCTCGGTATAATCGTTCTCTGTCAATTCAGGTTTGATCCAGAGTTTGAGGCGCGTGCGCCTGAAAGTGTGACACGTGCAGCAAACAGCCAATCACAAGGAACATGGAAAGCATCAGTTTGATTGACTTCTCGCTAAGAGTCAGCGCAATTCACTTTTCTGTTGAAGATGAACCGTCCTTGTATTTATATGTATATAGTTATAGTAATGGGGCTGACGAGACGTGAGACGTGTGGATCCATCTGCAAGCTTTTATTCAAGAGACGTGATATAACAGGCAGGGGCGAACAATGGCAAACAGGTATGTGGCGGGCAAAACACAAGAATAGTCCTAGGGCTAGCGTAGGTCACCGATCGGCAGACAGAATCACAGGGGCGAGACGAGAGGGAAAATCCAGGAACACAGGCAAAGATCAGAAACCGCGAAAACCTCTGGTGGTGAACGAACGGAAGTCCATGGACAGAATTCGTGACAGTTATATAGCCTATGAATTTAAATGCTAAGTTTAATATTAATTGTTAACTCATATAATTAACTATATGAATATATTGTTTTAATTATACATAATTAAAATCTATAAAATATAAATATAATAAACAATTAGCAGCAAAAGATTTGTCTCTAAAATTTTATCACTATTAACTTTAATTTGTAGTTTTTTTTCTCTCCAACATATAATATAAAGGTACTGAACAAATATAAACTACAACAAAGAAATAGAAAATATACAGTATAATATAAATAATAATACAGGAAAAAAAATAAAAATAATAATAATTATAAAAAAACTAAACAGAAAAAATAACAGGTATGAGATCATCATATAAATAACAAAAGCTTCACAAAGAGACGTAGTGCGTTTTGCTTTACTGTTTTTCAACCCAAGTAGTAACTCAACATAATTTTTCATATCTATCTGAAATAACAAAAAGTTGGGTTTTCCTTTAGCCCATTTCTGTTTATGTATATGGTATTTCCCCATAATCAAACAAAGATTAACAATAAAGGCCACATTTGGTATACGAAATCTAAGAAAAAGTGTTTTAACAGGGTACACCAGATGGAGTATTTTAAAATGTACTTCCCTCACCTTATTTGTTATGCAATATTTTTTAGGCAGCAACCATGCATATTTCCAGTCAATGCACTCAAATTTAGAATGCCAGTATGTTTTAGAAGATATTGGGCTGTATTCTGTTAGTAACTTCCTGATAAAGTAATTATTCCATTTTCTATCATTAATAGTAACTCCGTTAATTGCAACACTTTCATAAAGTGGGGTGGCTTTATTGCGTCAGATATATATATATATTATATATATATGTTACTTTGCTCAGAGCTGATTGGTCCAGCTTAGTTGCGATCTCTTACTCAGAATAAAACATGCTCGGTTCACCTGTTACCATGGTGGCGAAACCCGCTCAAAACCAACTCACCTTCTTGAGCTCGAAATCTCAGAGTTTGCTCAAACTAAACGCGAATTTACCTGGGTAAAAACTGAACCCGGCTTCGTGCTACAAGCCACAGAAGTGTTCATATCATGATACTTTCCTGCCATCCTCAGGACGCAATGTGGAACTGCACATTAGAGCTTGTAATTCAAAAACACTAGCATCATAATAGGGCATCTGTTATATAATTCTCACAGAAATGTGTACTGTAGATTTGTGAAAAAAATTTTTTTTGGTACATTTATTGACAATGGTTACAAACAAGCCTCTAGTGCCACTAACCATTAAAGTGCTCTGCAAATAGGATGGTCAGTATAAATATATAAATATACTGAAATTTACCTTTATAAAATGTATTTCCTTTTGATCACATTGTAGGCTATGCATTTTACATGTGATTGTCACTGACCATAGAGCATTTCATAAAGGTTAAACATTCAAGCCATCCCAGTTTAAGGCATTTCATTATCATTGAAAATGTGTTTTTCTTATTTCATATTTCAAAAAGTCTCCATTTACAACACACATATCACATTAGAATGTGGAAGCCAAATTGCAATCATCATTATATTTGCAATTATTTTGACTTAAAAGGTCAAAGATTTTTCTCGTGTTCAGTTAGTTTGAGTCATTCATGCTTTTTCTAAACCCTGAGACTCAAAGCCTTTGAACCAACATGCAAAGTAGAAAAGAAAAGGTCAGGCAGACAAAGGCCATTTCTTATGCAGAGGTTTCTTTCCTTCACCATCTTCCACCCATTACCTTTAAACATGATGAACCTCTGCTGTGGCTCCCAGCACTGTAGGAGAATACTTTTTTCCTTTATGAATTTATTGATATCTTGATGTTCATTCCCTAAATGTGAGGAAACCAGTGAAAAATGCATGTTTTGCTCTTGTTTGCTGTTGATGTTGTGAAACTACTGTCAAAAAACTTGAAGTGAAAGCTCTCTGAATGTCTGAATGTGGGGGCAGTCGTGGCCTAAAGTCGGACTTGTAACCCGAAGGTTGCGGGTTCAAGTCTCAGGTCCGGCAGCGCTCTCTACCGCAATACCACGACTGAGGTGAGACCCTTGAGCAAGGCACAGAACCCCCAACTGCTCCCCGGGCGCCGCAGCAATATGGCTGCCCACTGCTCCGGGTGTGTGTTCACTGCTGTGTGTGTGCGCACACTTGGATGGGTTAAATGCAGAGCACAAATTCTGAGTATGGGTCACCATACTTGGCCACACTTCACTTATAAAATACAGATATCTTGGGGATGATATAGTAGATTATTTTACTTATACTGCAGCTGTGTTGTATTTCAGTCTCTATTACACACTGGGTGTCTCACAGACCCTCTTT